ACCAGCGCTCCCCAGGTGCTGTGCACGTCCTGGGAAGGCCTCGAGGCCTCCTGGCTGAGGCACGGGATGGGGAGCCAAAACCTAATCTGGCCCCGGGTTTAAATAGTAAATGGCCTCTTTGTGGGACTGTGCCTGCCTGGGGCCTGGGCAGGGGCTGCCGGCTGGTTTTAGCCCCGCTGCCGCCCCATGGAGAGAGATCAGCTGGGGAGAGGCTGCTTTACCCGCCTGCTGAGGGCAAGGGGTCTGTCCTTGCCTCTCGGGGGTTATACAGGATCTGTTACGGGTGATGCTGGGTCTAGCCCTCCTGAAGGAGCAGTCCCATTTGGACAGGAGCTGTGTCCCCTCCGGCAAAGGATGTAGGCTGAGCTCTAGGTATCTCTGTGCTCATCTGAAGCCCTGCTTGCTGCAAGGACTCTTGCTGTAACCTTTGCCTGGGGCCTGTTGGTGAGGTCATTTCTCATATTCAGGAGAACAGCAGCAGGCTCGTCTCGTTGAAGAGCTTTTGCAAATTGCTGCTGAGCCTGAACTGCACCCTATTGGGAAGGAATTGCTCAGCAAAGCGACCTGTAAGACCTGCACGTGGGCTCCATTAGCCCCACGCTCCCTGGATGAAGCAACTGGGGGTTGACCACAGCCTCTTCAAGGGTCTTTGCAGATCAGCACCTGTGCTTTGTACTGCCAGGGATGAATTCATGGATGCTCCCAACAAACAAACACAGCTGTCATCCACATTAGGTGCCAAAAACATCTTTATTAGCAAAGTGTACACTAAAACTCCAGAGAAAGAGATGCTCACAGTTTTACTACTCTCAAAGGGAGCTCGATACATTACTTGAGCAGGCGGCCTAGGACTGTCACAGCATCTAACCGAACGGCAAGGCGGCAGTGCTAAGTGGTCTTCTCCTACGGGGGATGCTGCGGGAGCCTGCCGGGGAAAGGGCTGGGGAGGAGGAAGCATCTATCAAACCTTTATCAAAAGAGAGAAGCTGGGAGGAAGGGCTGGAGATGAGGTGTCTGGGGCTTTTCGGCTTTCTGGGATTGTGCTTTTGAGTTTTGTGCTTTATGCCCAGGCCGGTGACCAGTTGGGTTTATCTGGGGAGTTGTGGGATGCGTGTTGGGGTTTTCAAGGCGTGATCAGCCCTGCTGGAGAAGTCAGTGCCCTAGGACTTGTGCTGAAGCATGCTGAGGTGGCGGGGGCTGTTGGCCCTTAGTTTCTCAGTGGCAGTCAAGTAGGACAAGGATAGCTTCTGTCCTCTGTCCTTGTCCCGGGCTTCCCACCTGCAGCTCCCCCCAGTACCGCACTGTGGAGATCTCCTCCTCCTCTGGTGACTACCCTTTCTGTAATGCCCACAGACTCCTTTGGGCTAAGCCCAGTACCAAGGCAATGGTCCCTGCTCCAAAGAGCTGACAGCAAAGTGCCCTCACAGCTATGAGCCGTGGATTTGCTCTCCTCCAGTTGCTGTGGCTCACTTGGCTTGCGCCGTTCTCGAGAGGAAGCCTCGGCAAGGAAGAGGCGGTGGGTACCGTTTGGCCTAGCCAGCTTGTTGGTGGCCGTAAGAAAGAACTGCTCTGGGTTCACTATAATGTGCAAATGAAATCTACTCTATGGGAACCGCTGGAAAACGTTGACCTTGGAAGCCAGCCACTCTACGCTTCCTTTGACGGTGGCAGAAGACAGCTACAAATTATACCCCTGAGCCAATGGCATTGTCCTCCATCTTACCCTTGCAGTCAAAATCGACATCAACTGACCGAGCTCGCAGTTGAGGTTCCTCTTGACTTGCTTCGCAGCCCCCACGTCTCTAACTTCCAGGAAGCACCGGGTCGGAGAGGTGTCTCTGAATGTCCTGGTGCTCGGAGGATGCCTCCAAGTGCTCAGGGAGGGAAGGGAAACGAGAGCCCCAGAAGAGTCCCTGGGTATTTGGTGCCCTTTGGTGGGGAGGCTCTGGATTCGGGAGAGGTGGGGAATGGTGTTCCTGCTCGGAGTAGACCGTCATGGTTTCATCAGATGCCACAGCGAGGTGCATCCCGCTTGACAACGAGTCCTTGGATTTCAAGTGGAACTTTTCTACCTCTGTGTAGCTTGGGCTCTGGTGGGAAAGGAGGAACCAGGTGGGTTATGGCAAAAGCAAAACAAAGTAGCCACACTCTCTCCTCACCCCATCAGGCCCTAAGCCCCAAAATGTTATTTTTTGCCTGAGGAAGCCTCAGAGCAGAGGAACCCACTCCCCTCCCTACTGATGGGGCAATCTGGTAGTGCTGGAGCTGGCAGGCTGTGCTCCAAAATCAGCGATGCAATGGGCAGAAGCATCTCTAGGTAGATCTACTCCCATTTCAAGACCCCTGGGCTTTGCCTGGACCCACGAGCATTCGGCTGTGCTTTGCTTGCAGGGAGGCTGGAGGGAACAGCCGGCCCTCCAGGACCCATCTGCTTGGGGCAGAAGGAAGCTCAGCCGGTGCTGAGCCAGGAGGGTTGGTCTTACCTGCTCTGGAGTTGTCGTCTCCTGGTCCTCCAGGGGTGCACAGGGGGTGAGCGGCTCCAGGCTCCGTGGGAGGATGCCGTACATGGCCAGGTTGTGGGAGGATGGCGAGATGGGGCTGTACGCGGGCGGCACTTGGGACAGCTGGCGCTGCAGGAGCTGGAGGATTATATTAATGTCTGACGACATCCTGGACTCCAGCCTGGGGACAGAGCAGCCCGGCGTTAGCGCAGTGCATCCCGCTTCATCCACGAGAGCCAGACCCTCGGCTGGGCAGGGGAGGCACTGGGGAGGAGGTGCCAATTCAGCTGCCCGAGGGTGATGATGCTTTGCCTGGTGCTACTTGGTGAGGTTTTTAGAGAACTTCAAACCAGCACTGCCACAGAGAGATCAATCCTGCCATCTCTCTCCTGCCATACTCAATCATCCCCTGCCCAATTTTTTGTGGGGCCAAACTGGGATCTGGAGCAGGGAATGGAACAAAGCTAAAACTACCCCGGAGGGGGGAAAAAAATTGCAATGGTTAATTTTAATCTGGATCAATTCTCCAGGCCAGCTGCCTGCGCTGGCAGATTGGAGCAGGGCAGGTTAGTGCCAACCATTTTTAACTGAGGAACAGGAAATGGAAGAGTAGAAAAAGACCCTTCCTTTTGCCTTGGTGCTTGACTGAAACGAGCACCTTTGGCAGGAGTGGGCACAGCCCCCCTCGCAGGCAACGGTCCTGGCAGCGCTTACAGAGTGGGTAGGAGATCTGTCCCCTGCTGCTGGGGACGGCACGTTGGCAAGACACTGAAATACGTGTGTGGGCACTGTGGTGAAGTGAGCTTAACATGGGCAGCAGCCATGGGTGGGAGAGCCAGCCACTCGTGGGGGCGCTGCCT